AAAAAAAAAAAAAAAAAAAAAAAAAAAAAAAAAAAAAAAACGTCGATTAATAATAATGAAGCATGACCTCATCCCCAGAGAAACCAAGGTAGTCGCAGAACCCTATCTGTATGCGAAGGGGTGACAAAAATAGCAAAAGGGCTAGTCTGGACGGCACGACTTTTGCCCCAGGAAACGAAAGGTCACCTTACCCGACAGATGGAACCAGATTGGGCCTTAGGCCAGCAAGCTAGTCGTACCAAAAGCTGGGTACATCTCATCTGCCTTCTCTCCACCAATCTTATCATGACTTCGACCTGGCCAGAAGTATCCGCGCCATACCCAATACAGCTGTATTCACGACGAACCTCATTTTGCCCTGTCGTATGATCTGATTGGCCCCGCCCCGGCAGCACCAACCCTTTTCGTTCGCCCATGCCAAGCCGCCGTACCCTAATTTTCCATTATTAGCTCCGAACCCAGAGCCAACTACGATCCCTAATGTAAGTCATCCATCGTCACTCACTCCCCAATGGATATAGTATATCCTGACTCTGATCTACAAATGGAGTCCTTTCTCCCTTCTTTTCCCGGAGTTCGACCCTGCGCCCTCCGTGCGGGCGGGACCTTCCGTTGTATACCATACCTAGATCAGTTTCATCTCGCGAAGTTTCAGATAGACCAAGTAGATCTCTGGTCTCTGGTAGGTGGGGGTGGGTACAGGTTTGGATAAAATCCCTCCCCGTTGATACGTTCTTCACTTCTGTCCGCGGAGACCGCATGCCACGTCCTGCATGGATGCCAACTTAAGGGTTCCTTCACGACGGGGAGGGTTCTTGGCTCGGGGGCGGAAACAGAGTGATTGTCACTGCAGAGTTGAGCCATCCGATGAAGGTTCAACGAGCCTATACTTAGAACCGTGGTTCCTTATGCGGGATGGTCATTTCACTTTCAAATGAAGATTTGCGTCGTGATGGTCAAATTAGATCCCCTTGGCGCTGCCCTCTCGACTCGATCTGAAGCCGTAGTGGTGTGTTCGTGCTTGTGTCACTGTCGCAGATGGGCATGGGGAGAAAAAAAAATAACAAAAAACTTCCATAGGGCGTGGACCACGCTACTGGCCGGCACGCATGCGTGAATGTTGCTATATTTGGACCCTCTGGGTGATAGACATGCGCGCCCAGCGGGTGAAGAGCGCGCCTACTACGGACCGTGTGTGTGTGTGCTACCTGTGTAACGCTCAATACTCGTGGCTTTCTACAGGCGTGGATCAGTGCGCTGGGTCGAGAATTCTGCAACAGAGACGATGGCTGGAGGAACCTCTTCGCCAGAGTAGAGTTCACCCGAGGTTCACTTTGGACTTCCTTCTATCCGTCGACCCTTGTCGCGCTATGCAAAACTTGAGTGCTCACGTAATCTGTAGATGCATACTGGCTGGCTCTGTTTTAGTTCCTGTGATAGTGGATAGTGGTGAGGGCTTCTGCAACTATGTGGATCCATAGTCGGACTTCACTCGGTCAATCCTGGAGTAGGATTGTTCGGTGGTGACAGATGGGGATTCGCCTTTTCACTGTGGTGTGTGTCTTATGTTTCCTAGGGTGTCGGGGTATGCTTGGCTTCTTCGTGAGCTTCTTCTCGGAGGCTTCTTCATGGGCTTCTTCTCGAGGCCATCCATAGGTTGCTATGGCATGTGTTAAATGTGATCTTTGCGGTTTCGAGACATGGCATCAACCACCGTAGTACTACTACTCTGTACCCTCGCGCAGAGTAGCTGGAACTCGTCGCTAGGAAGGCCGGAGACAGCGTTCCTATGTGAAAAGATTGTGGCATAGTCTCCGAATGCAAGACGTGGCGAACACAATGCTTTTACACAAAGACGGGTGGTGGCGGTCAAATATGAGCTGCAAGCTCACACCACTTTCCGGTAGCGTTACGGTTCGATGCAGCATGTCAACATGGTAGCGGACAATGGCCTGGCGAGAAGCTGGGGTTATGAAAGGTTCGTAGGAAAGAGCAGGAAAGGCTGGTGATTGTCATGCTTTGATGATTGCCCTGGTCAAGACCGTTAACTGCTGCGCTTCATTCTTGAGTACGGAGTAGATACAAAGATAATCCAATGTCGGCCTGTCATTCTGCCGCAAATTCAAATAGGTGGTTGAACCCGTTGAAAGGCAGTCATCAGTGGACGATCTAGAATGCGTCCTTGGGACTTACAGGGACTGGGCAGAAATGCAAGTTTCAGGCTACAAGTGCTACGATTTACTACTCCAGAAGAACCAGGGCGGATTCGCGAACGTGCAAATGTGGGACAAGCTCGACTCTCTCCCGCATGTCAGAACTACAAGCGAAAACTGAATGACGAATCTCATATTGCACCACTGTCAAAGAGTCACGGTGCGCGGCTGATCTGATTGATGTAGCATCCGCATCGAGTCAAACGTGGTAGACCGGTGATCGAATCGTCAAACTGAAGGCGCAGGGCGAGAGAGAGAAATCGGCTTGGGCTACAGTAACCCCCGCCATCAGGCAGAATATGGAAAAAGACATTTGAAAGATCGGTTCACGAGATGTCCATTGTTGCATCTCGATAAAACGCTAATTCTTTTTTTGTCATTTCAATCCCATAAAACCGACGTGCCGGAGGTCCCTCCAGGAGGATGTCCACACACAAACTCCTCGGAAACCATGTGTAAACCCGAGAGAAAACATTCGCTCCCAGGGGACCCATCAATCCAGCACGCGGCAAACGATCATGTCCGTATTCGTAGTTCCATATCCTTGGAGATGTATTAAGTCTGGATCCATTCGTGATGCGAATTCCATTGCTGGGCTCTTAACACATGAAAATCAATGTCCGAATGGTTGCCGCCATAAGCCAACGCAATAATTCCCCAGTGTACTCCTCCCGAAGAACCAATCCGACCCCTTGTCGCTTTTGCATATTTTTAGCGAAGACGTCTGGCCTCACGTTCAGATTCGAGCAAGCAGAGGATGTCGTCGACACGGACTGTAAAGGTTATCAAGTCAGCCGGGCGCTATTTTCGACCTTTGAATAGAGCGAAACATACCAGGGCCCTTGACGTTACGGATGATAGAACGGCTCTGGTCATCCATGAACTCGACACGGACCTGGGTCACACCACCGCGAGAGCCTACTCCTCGTTAGATATCATCTCCCTTCAATCCCAACACCTTCCTATCATCTCGGTGCCTCCAAAACGCGGGGACAGGTCATACCGGTACGGCCGAGGACGCGGGTCACCTTCACGAGCTTAACGGGGGCCTTGGCGGAATCCATTGCGAATGATTGATTCTCTCGCTGTGGTTGCGATTGATCGAGTCGAGGAGCGTGTGTTGAAGGCGAGGCGCGGGCGGTTGTCGAGATGTGCTGAATAATTTTCAGTGCGCTTCGGTAGGGTTTCCCGTCACCGAACCCTCTCCGCTTCGGTCAAACCTTAAAGCGAAGCGACCATCTCGGATAAACTAACCTAAAGAAGCACGTTTATCCAAGTACAAGGTAGGTGTACCTTCTCTTCCTCAACTATGATCCATATACGAGTATCTAGGTAGTCGACATTAGAATCTCAGACTAAGAGTACAAAAAAAAAAAAAAAAAAAAAAAAAAAAAAAAAAAAAAAAAAAAAAAAAAAAAAAAAAAAAAAAAAAAAAAAAAAAAAAAAAAAAAAAAAAAAGACAGAGAGAGAGAGAGAGACGTTCACTAAACGAGCGTTATGCTCATTGATGGATTTCTATCTGCTGCGCTCATTTACTATAGTACTAATCTATCAACCAAATGGTACACAGAACTCATCCGCCGAGTCAGTCCATTATGCATGTCATCATTGTCATTCCTTCACCGTCTCTTATATAGTCCTTGGATATGCTATCCCAGGCTCATGATTGTTTGTACAGGCCCATTAGATCTCACTCTATGCAGGCCCAGACATGAAATCGCCACAACGAAAGAAATTAACACGCCATGGGTGGGAAATCAACAGAAAATCAAAAATCAAAGAAAAACAAAGGTCATTGCTCACTCCATCCAATGGATTGGACGCATCGGTGAGAGAGAATAAGGAGAAATCAAGAGGTAGATTAAAATGAAAAAGGAATGGGGGAAAAGGTGAAGAGATAAAAATGCAATGCAGTTTTAGTGCGCCTTTCGCCAAGAATTTTGCCCTCGTTGAACACTAGCAATGCCGACATAATCTAGATTTGGTATACAGAACGAAGTTTCTGAGCAACGTGAGCCGGAAGCTGGGTGAGGAACGAATCGAAGTTGGGTATCAAGTTTTTATAGCCTTGCAGAACCTGTGCGTTGTTAGTGGTTATCGAAAGAAGTAAGGGGCAAGTCAAAATGTATATCTTACCTGCTGGAATGAGCTCTGGATATCACGGTAATCATCCTGGTGGAGAGACTTGGTAGGGAAGGCGGCGATCGCCTGGAAGTAATCCGCAAGGCTGGCTTCCATGGCCTGTGGGTTCTTCATGACCACTTGGTTGAATCCCAGGAAGGCGGAGGCCTTCTCCCGCGTGAATTCGATCTTATTCATAGATTTCAAGAACGCGCCTGCGTACTCACCAAGGCGAGGGGCAAGCTGATCGGAACAACACATACCCAATCTTCCCAAGGCCATTGCAGCGTTCTCATTTACGGAGTCAATGATCTCCTCGTTGTTGATGATGACATATAAGCCCTGGTACAGCTTGTCGGCGTAAGGTGACAGAGCCGCCTTTTCGTTGACTGCAATTTCTCCACAGGACCAGCAAGCGTTGTTCAGCACGCTGAAGCCCGTGTGACGGTCATCGTCTTTGATCAAGTCCAGATCAAGCTGCTTGATAAGGGTCGGCATGATGTTGGGGATGAAAGCCTCCAGTTGCGCGAAGATGTTGATGGCACAATCGCCAAGCAATGCGTAGGACGACTGACGCACTTCATAGTTCGGGTCCTCCATACAAAAGCAGAGGAGGTCAAAGAAGCGTGGCTGGGAATTGGCTACTAGCTCGCCACTCTTCTGGGGATCAATCGCCTGGATGATCGCACTCAGAAGATCCAAACTGGTAACCAAGAAATCCTTGTCGGGCTCCTCGATAGCCTGGTTATTGATGGAAGCCATATATTCCTGTAGGTTCTCGTAGATGATCTTGATGCATCGTTGGAAGAGAGGAGGGGCAAAGGGAGCAAACGCATCGCCGTACGCAGCAGCGATGTAGCCGAGGCATTCCAACAACGGAAAGAGCTCCCGAGACTGATCCGACACCTTGTTATAGCGGTCGATAAGAGCAGGCATGAGGATGTCAACAAGGTGTGGCTTCGACAATTCTCCCATAACACACTCAGCCAGGGTTTGGACACAGTCATACAGGATATACATATTGCGGTCTTTGTATTTCCCGAAGCACTGGACGAACTGCCGAAGGATTGGTTCACAGTAGGGGATCAAGTTGGCATCTGACTTCTCTTCCAGGCTTGCAAAAGCGGACGCAGCTGCCTCTTGGACCTTCTTGTTGCCGTCTAGCATCCTACGAAGAATACCTTCCATCATAGGTTCGAAAAAGCTCGCCCTCTCCGTCGGGTCGTTGAGGTGCGAGGCCCATTCAGAGTATCGCCCCAAGCACCAACAAGTGATCTGGCGCACCACAGGCTGCGAGTCATTCAGAAGCGAGATCAGATAGGGAACAAGCTCCGGCAGATGGGGAGTAACCGCATCCATACATCCATCTGCAACAGCGCCCAAGGTCAGGACAGCAGCTTCCCGCTGTGGCCATTGGTCGTGGCGCAGGGTCTCCTTCAGGTAAGGCAGGATGATCTCGAAGATCGGTTGGTGATAGACGTTCGAGAAGACATCTAATGCGGCGGCCGAGCATTTCCGCAGAGTCCACTCGTCCTCGGGATCATCTCCGAATTCCGAGTCCTCTATCTCACCTTCGCTCAACTCGTCTTCGTCTTGTTCCTCAGCAGCATTGTTGCCGTTAGCCTGTTCCTCAGGCTTTGAAGAGTCTAACCGAGAGCCTTTCGATTTGGCAAATTGCGGCTTGAGATCTTCCACCCGGTCTTCCTGCTCGGCATCGTCCCCTTCACTTGCCAAGCGGATGGCGTCATCCTCATCGTAGACCATGCTCTGAAGCAGCACGGGGACGATCTTAGACATATGAGGAGCCAACGGTTGTTGCAACTTCGCCTGTTCGCCTGCAACGAGCCAAAACTCTGCAGCATCGAGAGCCAGCTCGGGATCTTCTTGATTGTGCTGCTGCATAATGATGTAATTCACTAAGCCTTCCATGTGCGGGATGAGTTTCTCGGGAGCAAAGTCCACCAGCTGTGCGAATGTCTGGCAAACTGTTCGCCGCACATCCGTGCTATTATCGTTGGCCAGTTGGAACAACTGCGACAAGAACAGGTCCATCGAACCGACCAATGCCTGGGGTCTGTGAGGAAGGAAGATATGGATGGTACCCAGCGCCATGGACCGGACCTTGGCGCTCTGACTAGAAGTGAACTCTAGCAGCTTGGGAATAATAACGTTAAGAGGGCACTGCCCCTGGTAGTCTCGTTCGAGGATCTTGCGGTTATCCTCGCACACCTTCGCGAGGGCCGACATAGCGGCCTCTTGTGCAGCGACTGGAGCATCCCCTGATGCGTTACTCACAAGGGACAAGAGCTCATTCAGCACTTCGGGCCATGCCAATAAACCCGCCTGTTGAACCAATTCTGTGATGATGCTACCGGCCGAGCTCCGTATTTGGAAGTTTCTGTCTCGGAGTCCACTCAGGGTGACCGTTCGGATATATGACAGACAAGGCTGAGGAATCGTATTGTATGCTACGCGAATCTTTGTCTTCAGGTTCATCGCAGCAGCAAAGCGGACCATATCATAGGTGTTGTCGTCAAACCCCACCGGCTGGGGGGACTGCGGTGTGCTGAACAAATAAGTGATGTAGTTAACATAATCGGGGGAGGAAGTCGCTTGTACTAGCATCTAACAAGGCAAAGAGAGAAAGAATAGTTAGAAGAAGCCAGTGAATCATTTTATTTGAGTGTGAGTGCCGGAGATTTTGCAGCAAGGCAAGTGGTGGTATAGAGATCCAAAAGCGGTATATGAACGGGGGCTCCGATAAAAATTGAGAGGTAGGAAACACACCTGTTCGGCCTGTTTTTGGGCGCTGCGGTCATAAGCATTTAAAGAGTCCCTGAGACAGCAAGCCAGCTGCCTCAATGGCTCATCCTGAGGTTGCCACTCCATTGTGCACACAAGAGGGGGAGGACGAGGAGCAATTGCGGGTGCGAAAAGGAAAAGCGCCGAGAGGGAGTTGCAAAGGTGTGGAAAGTGTGTACAGTAGTCGCACAGGAAACCCCGCCGTGGATTTTGGTGCGAAGCGGCTCCAACCCCTTCTTCCCCAGAGGTGGTCTTTTTTTTTTTTTTTTCTTTTCAAT